ATAGATAGATAGATAGATAGATAGATAGATAGATAGATAGATAGATATTTTCATGTTGTCTGTGAACTGACTGTTTGTTACAGATTTAATATATATTGTTCAGTCTTGATGTAGATGAATCTGGTTCAGTTGGTCCAATATCATTTGTTAGTTTGGAAGGACTGATGATGGGGTATACAGCCCAATAAATAAATGATTCTAAAGTTGGGTTTTTGACCATTCACACACGTGTACTTTGTCTTAAGGGTATTTAAAGTTAATTAATGCAAATTATCTCATAAAAATTTATCCAAACGACCATAAAAGGTAGCACAATTGTTATTTGGTAATATCTGAAAAGAACTGAAAAAATTGTTCTAATTTTTGTGACGTGTTACAATTTTTTCCATTATTCAAATTAAATACAGATCATTTACCAGTATTCATCCCAGAGTCTTGGATTTAAAATGCAGGTTTACACATTCAGAACCATGTTACTGTACCTGTGACAGACTGTTACAGCCTCTAAGTTCTGTCTTGGTGTGTTTAACCTCACATGAGCTCTGTTGGTTTCCATTGGGAAGGTGAACATTTTACCAGACAGATCTAGGAAAAGAAAAAAATCATGAGACAATGTTTTCCCCCCATTGTTCAGTAGGATAATTAGCTTTTATATGTAACTTGTAACAACTTGCTTACCACAATACTTACCAGGTTACAATAATTTTCAAAGTTAAAAGGAAATTTTTATAATAAATAATTTGTCAGTTGTAATGCTAATTCAAAAAACAGTGTTAAAAATTATACATTTTTGAGCTTGTCTTGTTTTTATCTTTTATGGGTTTTTACGAAAGATTCTAATTTCAAAAGTTCTGATTTTTATAAAAACAAATTTTCATTAGTTGTAACTGTTTATCTTTTGTATGAAAGTGTTGAAAAAAATGAACTTAAGGTTCCTGACAAAAACTTATGGTTAAAGACAACGTTGTTTATGTTTTTTTGTTTGTTTTGCATGTTTTCTTAATCAGTTTTTTTTATATTAATAATATCTAATATTTAGATACATCTAAATAAAGTCAAATGATTGTGATCTGGCTTTGAATAGAGCTGTTAGTTCCAAGTAAAGACTAGTCCTGTTCTTAATGCAAGCAGTTTTATTGCTGTGTTTGATTAGTCATTTTTAAATGAAAACACAAATACCTTGAGTTTTTGCCGCACATGTTGTCAGCAACACGAACACGAGCAAAAGCTCCATCTAACAGAAAGGAACCAAAAAAACAAACTTTCAGTTTTTTCCCATTACTCTTTGTAGACTGAAATACCTAAATGCCTGTACATTAAATAACTCAGGTAAAAAAAAAAAATTTTTAAGTATTTAAACGTGCAAAAGTATTCTTGAAAAGTTTACAGTTTTTATTTTTCTTCCAAAGTTCAATTCTTGATCTTACCTTGATAACTGCAAGAGGATGTGCACAGCTTTACAGAAGCTTCAACTTTCGGCTCATTTCTTCACCCTGTTTCTGCATGAACTTCCTTTATCCACTTCTCCTTTTAGTGTCCCGAATACAGCAACATAACGTTTTTTTTAGTCTTGATATTTCAACAGAATCTACTGGTTTGTACATTGGTGTTGAAATAACTCATTTCAGATTAATTTTATGCAACTTAAGCACTCAGGAAATTATGCCAATTCAGAGCTTGTGCAATTAAAGCAAATGTGTCCTTAAGATGCAATTCACACAATGCAGAAAACATAAACATTTTAATCGACTGTTTTATGTTTAATGCACTGAATGTTGCGTCAGATGCTTCCCGTGATAGAACCGCCTGAGTTGCAGAAATGAGCAAGTCAAATCGTCAAGTCAACTTTATTTATAAAGCACATTTAAAACAGCAGCTGTTACCAAAGTGCTTAACAACAACATCAATGAAAGTAAATTAATGGAAAAATAGAATTAATGATAGCACTGAAAAATTAATTAAAAGCGTTAAAGAAAAAAACATAAAAACACAACAAAAATACTAAACTTACGCTGTGTGAAAATGCCAGAGAAAACAGAGTGTTTAAAGCAGAGATTTAAAAACAGGAAGAGAAGTGGCCTGAATAATGTTGGGGGGCAGGTTGTTCCAAAGTTTGGGGCCCACAGCTGAAAATGCCCGATCACCTCTGAGCTTCAGTTTTGTTTTTGGAACAGCCGAAAGCAGCTGATCGGATGATCTCAGGGCCCGAGAGGGAACATACGGTTCCAGTAGCTCAGAGAGATAAGGGCGTGCAAGGCCAGAGCAGTGAAGAAACAGTTGAGTTGTTGTTGTAACTTGGCAAAACCAGCTCCAACTTGTTAAAAATATAAACCATATTTTATTTATTTAACAGAGAAACATAAAGTATTGAAACTATTGCGCTGTTTTTTGTTTGCTTGCTTGTTTTGTTAGAAGCCACTGTCACAAAGACATCAAATTATAAAAACTATTTCCACCAAATATTAAAATTATTATTTTTTTATTGTGTTAATTTCCTCTTACAAAACAGAAAGAATGACTGCAAAAAATATGCAACCAACAAAGCCCAAGATTTGTGCTGCTCCTGAATTTTTATAAATCTCTATTACAAGAATTGATTTCCACATGTGAAAATTATTAATATTGAATGCAAAAATATTACACTTCTCTTTTTGTGTGTGTCACATAACTGGCCAGATCCAGCTGAACAAAATAAAAAATAAAATAAAAAAATACTGAAAAAAAATCCAAACATTTTACGACAGCATCGGTAAGCAAGCAGCATTTAATCAAGCAGCTGTTGTCATGTTTTTATTGATGTGGAGGACACTAAAGATCTACCCATACTTTCTTGGAGAACATGGACTTTGATTTACAAGTAATCACAACAACGTAAACCTGGAATTTATCTGAAAAATAGCTGCAGAGAAATTAGGGCAAATTGTAACAGAACCTATAGAGAAAAGGAAATAAAGCAGGAACACGATTAAACCCAAATTATAAGAAAGAAGGAAAAAAGATACAAAATAGCTGTTTTCCATTATATTTTGTTTCAGAATTCTTCGTCTTTTTCTTTCATCTGTTCTCTTTTTAAGGATTGCCACACCGATTTATCCTCCTTTATCTCAGTCTGTCCTCTGCGTCCTTTGTCATCACTCCATCTACCTCCATGTCCTCTCTAACTGCATCCATATACAGTATCTTCTCTTCGGTCTTGTTCCTGGCAGCTGTATTTCTAACATTCTTCTACCAATATACCCACTGTCCCTCTTCTTCACATGTCCTTGTCACTCCCAAAGAAAACCTCAACATCTTCATTTCTGCCACTTCCAGTTCTTTCTCCTGTCTTTTTATCTATGCCACTGTCTCCAGACCATACAAAATAGCTGGTCTCACCACTGTCTTGTAAACTTTGACCTTTGCTGCCACCGTTTGTCACAAGTCAATCCTGAAACTTTTCTTCATCCACTCCATCCTGCCTGGACTTTCTTTTTCACCTCTTTACTACATTCCACATTTTCCTGGACAGTTGACCAGTACTTGAAGCCCTGTACCTTTGTGCTATGTTTTTCTTAACAGTGCCCTGAAATTACTTCTCTTGTCACTTGGCGCTATATAAATAAACTGTATTCTTGTAGCGTCACTGTTCCACCGGCCTCCATCTCATTCACAAATGTACTCTGTCTTACTACAGCTCACATTCATTCCTCTTGTTTCAAGTGCATACCTCCACCTCTCCAAGTTCTCTTCCTCCTGTTCCCACCACATATCACAACATCATCTGCAAACATCGTAGTCCATGGGGATTCCTGTCTGACCTTATCTGTTAGTCGGTCCATCACCAGAGCAAACAAGAAGGGGCTCAGAGCCAATCCTTGATGCACTCCCACCTCCACCTTGAAGCTATCTGTCACTCCTACAGCACATCTCACCACTGTCCTGCTGTCCTCATACATGTCCTTTACCAGTCTAACATACTTCTCTGCCACTCCAGATTTCTTCATACAACACAGTAGCTTCTCCCTCGGCACACTATCATATGGTTTTGTTTAAATCCACAAAGACACAATGAAGTTTTTTCTGACCCGCTCTGTACTTCTCCATCAGCATCCTCAAAGCAAATATGATGTCTGTGGTGATCTTTCTTGGTAAGAAATCATACTGAAATTTTGGCTGCTGTCTTCTGCAGGGATTGCCATAAGTGGGTGAACTTGCATGAAAGATTTGCCAATTGATTTACACCTTCTTGACACAACCTGGTCTCGAACTTGCAACCTCAGGATAATAAGACTCAGCACAGACCAACAAGTTACAGCTTGCTCATAGTTACCTCTTGTCTAAGTCCAGCATCCACAACTCTCTCCCAGATCATCATCATTCATGCTTTAATAACTCAATTCCTCTGTAGCTGCTACAAATATGTTACTCACCTTTCCAACCATCCATCGTCTTATCATTCTTAAAAACTGTCACCAGCACACTTGCTCAATTGCTCAAGCATTTTTTTTTTTACTATCAAAGATGCCATTGACTAACAGAGTCAAAAACCTCACTGCCATCTCTCCTAGACATTTCCAAACCTCCACTGGTATGTTTCAGGTCCAACTTCAGCTTCAGCTTCAAACATCTGTTAAGTTCATGGCAAAAAAAAACCAATGCAGACATGTTCCTGTTTTTAGTATTCTACATCGCTTTAGCTGTTTTAGTTTAATTTTTTTTTTTACCATTTTCAGTCATTTGCTCTTCTCAATTGATATGCTTTTTTTTTATGATCGTCTATTGTTCAAGGATTTAATAATTCAAGGAATCAAGGTTCTTTATTGTCATTCGCATCCCATGTGGTACATAAGGTGGAACAAAACTATATACATAGGGTCCCAGTTACATCCAACAAAAATACAAATTGTAAAGAAAAGCAGTAGTAAGATCCAAGACATGATCTAAGAAATACACTAAACTAAGAACACACTAAGCACTAAAGTCTTTGGAATTGTCTTTGTTGTCTAATGTTGTCATCACTCTGTTAAAATCAGGTCTATCTTGTTAAAGAGTCCTCAAGGCTCAATGGGACTAACCTGTATAAATAAAGGTTGAATGAAAACTGTCTTCTCCTTTTTCACCCTTTTTAAAACTTTCCTAACTTCATCCTCACTAATCTTTCCTGCTTCCTGTTCCACAGTTTCAATAACCTCAACTTTTCTATCCCTTTCATTATCTTCACCTTCTCCAAGTTCTCCATCCATCTTCCCTTCACACTGCCCTTGTTTGTTAGAACATTACCATTCCTATCTTTAACAATCCTGCTGCACATACTTTTTCATGTTGGATAGGAGAAAATATTTTACCTGTTGTGGATAGCTTTTTAAATTACGGTACCTCAATTGTGACCCGAAAAGAAGAAGCGAGTAAAGATAATGGATGGATGGATGATGTATAGGGAAATAGAGTTTAGGTATGATGATGCTGAGCTAAAAGCTAGTCCAGGTGTGGCTGCGACCCAAGTGGATCATTGTCCTAAAACAACCTAAATCTCAAAACTGTGTTACAACCTGGTGCGACAACAGCCGCCAGATGTTGATGGGGTAGAGGCATGGCAGCCGACTCGGAACCAAAAAAAGACCCAGGTTCGATCCCCAGCCATTCCCACATGTCATGGTGTCTCTGAGCAAGACATCTAATTCCTAATTGCTCCCGGGGCCTTACAAAGCTGCCCACTGCTCCACCTGGGTGCATCCCAGGTGTGATGGGTTAAATGCAGAGACCAATTTCACCATTGTGTGGGAACGTACAATGACAACACATAGCACTTTATTAAATATGGGTGATTCCACCTTCTGCACCACTCAAGCAGCCATGGAGTCAATGGATGTGTTACAACCATGATTGGATTTACAATTGTGAAATTATTCACTTTTTGGTCTTATCAAACTTCAGGGTGAGCCCAGGCCAAAACAGCAAACAAACAATCTATCCACTATTTTTCTCTGACCTGAAGAAAATATAATATAACCAAAACACAGGTCTCTTACCTCAACTAAACTAACAAAAAACAGGGGAAAAAGTCTTAAAAATAAATTGGCAGCTTACCCCTACAAACTCCTCACAAAACTAATTCATCAGACGAGTGACAGCAGGTCAGCTGTGGCAGGTTGGGGAGAGCAGCTTGAGTGGGAGCCGACGTCATTACAAACACTGCTGTTTTTATGCAGCACCTCTTGTCAGGCAGCCAATCCTCATTTAACTCCTCTATTGTATGTCTTCCTCCAATCACAGCTATGCACCGGGACACTAATTTTCACACAAATGACTGTTGCACACACGCACACACAAATCTTACACCAACAGTCATAACAAAAGCCATAGTTTTTCATGAAAACATTGTTCTATAGAGCTTTACAATCTTGTAGAAAAAAAAATAAGACCTTAATAGTATTAACATTTTAGTAACAATGTGTTATTTTATGTTCTATCAGAACTTTGTCTACAATCTGAAAGTCTAGCGCCCTCCAGTTCAACACATTTCCTGGGGTGAAGTTCAGCCCATCCACATAGTTTTGGATATCACAAGGGTAGAGGGTATAGTTCCACATGTGGACATCTGACATCATGCCAGTAAAAGACTGCTTGACATCAAAATCACCACCATATGAATCCTGCTCCTGTTGGGAACAAAGGTTTGACAATGACTGCTTTAAATATCATTTATGAATTATAAACTTAAGAATGTTAGTCATATAAAAAGCATTACCTGTCCTATAATAATTATAACAGGTCCTGCGATGGTTGCTCCAGAGTTGACATATTTCCTAGTGAAAGGTTGTCCATCAAACCACAGCTGCACCAGACCAGACTCGGAGTCCCAGGTGGTGCAGATAGAGTGCCAAATGTTTGTCTTGTAGTCAAGCTCACTGAAAAATACTTCTTTGTTCTTGATAGCGAAATCAATCACTTTGTTTATGCCATCCCAGTAAACCAAAAGTTCATTGTAATGGAGGGGTGTGGCTAAAGAGAAAAGTGAATGGTCTCTTTTGATGTCTGTAAAGAACCTGAGGGAGCACAAGGGCAAAAAACATTATTCAGTGAACATTATTCATAGAAGTTCATCTAAATGGCTGACAATAGTAGCAACAGCACCTGTAACAGACAGTTACAGCTTCAAAGTTCTGGCTTGATGGGTTTAATCTCACATGAGCTGTGTTGGTTTCTAGTGGGAAAGTGAACATCTTACCGGACAGATCTGAGAGAAAAATAAAAAAATAAATGAAGTATTGTTTTTTTCTCTTTTATATTTATGTCAAACTAGACTGAAGGCCATTAGACTTCTTTATGTGACTCTTGTTTAAATTTTATTTTTCAAATGCAGGTTCCAGTTGTGGGTGCAACACCACTCAGCTGTACAGATTGTTTTTTCATCCAACCTTTATTTAGACAGGTAAATCCCATTGAGCCTCGAGGACTCATTTACAAGAGAGACCTGATTGCGGATTGTTCTGACCTTTACAAACAAAAAGGAAACAACGCTCGTACAATCACATGCCAAAACACAGACAAGCCAGTACTTCAGGTCAGGACTCAGGAGTCAGCACACATCGTATGGATAAGGAAAACTTTTTAGGGGATAGTACTGTACATATTTTGGACATAGAAAATACATGGTTAGAGAGAGAAGTAAAAGACACCACAAAAAAGTTTCATGATATGGCCTCAAAGACAAGACCCTCTATAAACTGCATTTGGCCATTCCTAAATCACCAACTGAGAATGCCCTCATCATGTGAGCTTTTGTAAATGAAGCCAGTGTAGCAGAACTGCAGGGGATGTGAAGTATAACATTGCTGCATCGATGAGAAGCATTGCGGCTAAAATCAGATATAGTCAGATCCAGAGTCAAATATCTCTCATTCTAAATCCTGCACCCAGTTATTTGCTCAGACCATATGTCATGACTTTATCACACACTTGAGCAGTGGTGGGATGTAACTAAGTACAAATACTTTGTTACTGTACTTAAGTACATTTTTCGTGTATCTGTACTTTACTTAAGTAGAGTTAAATGTGGGTACTTTTTACTTTTACTTCACTACATTTTACATCAAGTACCTGTACTTTCTACAACACTACATTTCTATAACGCGTTGCATTACAAGTTACATTCATGTTGCGGCTTTTTGATTTGTTTGTTACTTTGAAAGTAACCAATGGTGAGAGAGGAGCTGGTCCATTGAATCACTGCAAAGTGGGCAGGTAACGTTAGGCCCGCCTTCAAGAAGAGATGGGCCAATGACATATATTCTAGTATATATGTCACTGAGCTGGGTGCACCTGCAGCACCACTCACACACCCAAAATGTTTTCCACCGCAAGAGAGTCACCCAGAAGATACACGCCAGCCATGGCCTTATTGAAAGACTGCTCAGTACAACAGGACAGATTCTCTCTCCCAAAAGAGCCAGATTGGACTCAAAAATCTTTGAAAACCAACTTCTTCTGAACTTGAACAAGAAATTCTTGCTCCAGTATTAAAATGTGTCAGTTCATGATGTTAGGACAGGAGACAAGAGATGTCTCTAAATGGCTCGACGCTCAGGTCCAAGTTTTAAAAATGGTGTCAGGAAGTTAAAATGCTGTTCAGTTTTGACCCATTACAAGGTTGAATAGACAGTATTTTAACTAGAGTTGATGACAAACTGGAGTTGAAATATCAGTTGAAATGATCGGTGCCTATTCTTTTGTTAGTTGTGTCTAATGCTCCTTTTTTCAGGCAGACAACTTTTACTTAAATGTGTTTACTGCAGAGCAGCACGGTGGCGCAACTGGTAGAGCTGCTGCCTCTCAGCGAGCAGGTCCCTGGTTCAAACCCCGGTCCAGGGGCCTTTCTGGGTGGAGTTTGCATGTTCTCTCCGTGCATGCGTGGGTTTTCTCCGGGTACTCCGGTTTCCTCCCACAGACCAAAAACATGCATGTTAGGCTGATTGGTAACTCTAAATTGTCCCTAGGTGTGAGTGAGAGAGTGAATGGTTGTTTGTCTCGTTTGTCTCTATGTGGCCCTGTGATGGACTTGCGACCCATCCAGGGTGTACCCCGCCCCTCGCACAGTGATTGCTGGACATGGGCACCAGCGACCCCCGTGACCCAAAATGGAACAAGCGGGTAAAGATAATGGATGGATGGATGGATGTTTACTGCAGTTAAAATGACACACTGGTTTTGATTTGTGTTAAATAAAAACTTTCAAAGGTATAATCATTCCTCTTTCTTATTTTGATTAATGGCATTTAACTCTGCAGGTCATCCCTGAAATTCTGACACAGAATCACAAGTCCAAGTGTGAACTGTGTCACAGAGTAAACACAATAAAAACATGTATTATCTGCAGCATTGTTCATTAAAATGGAACAACTCTATTAATGTACTACAGAAAATATGCATATGGTAGGCACACTTAAAGATATGTAGACCATTACATTAGGTAATACATTCAGCAAGTACTTTTACTTTTAATACTTTAAGTATTTTAAAAGCAAGTACTTATTTACTTTTACTTAAGTAAAAATGTTAATGTGGTACTTCTACTTTTACTAGAGTACATTTTTGTCTGTTTATTTGTACTTTTACTTAAGTACAGTGTTTGAGTACTTTCTCCACCACTGCACTTGAGTCACAACCCCTGCTTATTCTAACACATACAGTGACTATTTCAGGTCAAGACTCTCTCTCTTAGTGGCTCAGAGGCATAACAACAGGAGGTTGAGTTCAATCTCTCATGTCACCTTGGTGCTATTATAGATCACACCGAGGCAGCAAAAAGATGCCGCAGACATGGCTTAAAAGTGTTCATGTTGGGTGTTATGTCAGACCAGAAAGACCACCTTTAAACAGGTTTCACTTTTCCAGCACATACATTGCAGCCTTGAGTCTCCAAATTTGATACAAATTCTCAACTTCATGAATGTGACCAAAACATTTCCAGTAAAGACCAGGTTAACAAGAATCCTAATGACCCTCAGAAGAAATTGTATTGGCAGTACAGTCAGTTTCATTAAAAAATAGAAAAAATCATCTGGTTAACAGTAGAATGAGATTCAGTGTTAACAAGTTAAACTCTCTTGAGATCTTCCTTTTGGTTTGCTTCTTATTCAATTAGAAGACAAAGCCATATAGGCATTACTCTTAGTGCCAAGACATGCATTTAAAAGTTGCATACAAAATTATTGAGATGCTTTTTTTTTTTTTACAAACTAAATAAAACATTTATTTGATAGAAACCTACCTTGATATTTTGCAGCACTTGCTGTCAGCATCACCAGTACAAGCAGCAACTTCATCTAACAAAAACAAAAAAGACAAACCTCATAGCCAATGTTTTATGATTCGAAATATACTAACCTTGCCTCTGTTTATAAAAAATATACATGTTTAATCTGTTAGTGGAATAGAAAAACACGAACATACAAAAGTATTTGTAATATATAGAAAACTACTTCAAATTCTGCAAGAAAAAAAATGTTGTGATCTTACCATGATGTAATCTTAAACTGATGTCTAGCTGTTAATGCTATGCTTACTTCTATCGCACTTCAGGTTTGTGCCAACTTTCTTTATGTACTTCTTTTTTTTCTCCAGTTGAATGCCAATACAGTGCTTGATTGTTGATTATTCAACAAAAACTAAGTGGTCATCCTGATGTTGAAAGACACCAAATTGCAAGACATCAGCACTCTTTAACAGTCACATGAAACTGGCACACTTCCTGTTTTACACAACATGTTCAAGGTATTTGTATCTGATTTGTATTTGTTCTACATCATACAGGGTTAAAAAGAGGGGTTAAAAGAATACCCCACTGATATGTCTACATAATGTTCAGCTTTCTATGAAAAGTTAATTTTGTATCAATGTCTCTTCTAGAGATATGAAGCAAGAAACAGTTTATTGGCATGCTTTATGTAACATGTCAACCTCTTCAATCAACAAATGCAATCACCAAAACTTTTGCATTTATCTAAATAAACCACCATCTGATCAGACACATAAGGCAGACTACACCAGGAAAACTGATGATCCTGGTGTTTGGTGTTGGATTGTAGTTTGAGTTCAATGTGATTTTATTTTGCTTTTTTCTCTGTTATTCTGTTTGTAGATTACTTGCGTTCAATGTGTTTTCTGATATTCCTCCCTGTGTCAACCACCAAAGTCATTTTCCTTCAGTCATTCCTCTATTCAGCTTCCTACTCCCATGCACCTGCTCTTTCTTTGGCTCAGGTCTTTCAACTCAGTAATCATCCCGTCCAGCAAAAACACTCCCCGCTCATATTCACTCGTTATCTGGTCCAACTGCTTATCCAGTTTTCAAGTGTGTTTCTAGCATGTGTTCAAGTTTTCCACAGTGTCCTGGTCGTATGCCTCTAAGCCTCTGTGTGCTCCCTTGGTTTTCATTTGAAAGTTTTGTTTGCTGCCTTATCACTCTTTTTAGTTTTTTTTATTTTAACTGTTTTAGTTATTGGTTCTTATTTGTTCCAAATTTATACTTTTGAGTCCTTTAACATTATGCATTTCCTCCATTATTTGATACAGCTAATATTATGTGTAATATTATTAATATAGGGAGCAGCACGGTGGCGCAACTGGTAGAGCTGCTGCCTCTCAGAGAGCAGGTCACCCTGGCTCAAAACCCGGTCCGGGGGTCTTTCTGGGTGGAGTTTGCATGTTCTCTCCATGCATGTGTGGGTTTTTCTCTGGTACTCTGGTTTCCTCCCACAGACCAAAAACATGCATGTTAGGCTGATTGGTAACTCTTAAATTGTCCCTAGGTGTGAGTGAGAGAGTGAATGGTTGTTTGTCTTGTTTATCTCTTTGTGTCCCTGTGATGGACTGGAGACCTGTCCAGGGTGTACTCCGCCTCTCGCACAGCAGTGGCTGGACTTGGGCACCAGTGACCCCCACAACCCAAAAAGGAAGAAGCGGGTAAAATATAATGGATGGATGGATAACACAATACATGATGTATGCTACAGACTTTTGAAATCCTGTTGTCAAAAACATGCAATTTAAAAGAATAATTTAAAAATTCATCAGTGCCTAAAGGGTTAAACAAAGATCTAGTGTGATCTGTTAGTGCTCACAGTATGTGTTGGAGATGTCTTTCAGCTACTACCACAGCAAAATTTAGCTTCATATTTGCCAAACTAAGTTATAATCATGTTTGTGTTAGCTGAGTTGATTACCTAAGGCAGCCATCTTGTCAGGATGTCTCCAAAGGATTTCTCCAAAAGTTAAGAGCAGTAGATGACCATTTACTGATTACTTTCAGAGTTTTGTTAAAATTCCTTCACCACTTTGTGAGGTTTTCTAACAAACTCACAGACAATGACATTACTCCCTGCCTGTCATGGCAGAGGGCAATGACAGTTAAAATTTCCAAAAGGCTCAAAAGACCTGGTCTGCTGCTTTGAATAGATTTTATGGTGGGATTGCTTGCTTGTTAAATAAATGAGTCAATCAATCAGTTAACTGAATATAAAACATAACCTTGATGATTACGTTTGTTTTTATTGGCTCTCTTTTGCATCATACTGCCAAACTTTTATGAAACAGAAAAGAAAAAAAAAAACCTTCAGGGCCAGTTTAGGGCTTTGAAAATCCTTCTGTATTCATCCTCCAAATTGTGTTTTTCACTAACCTTTTCTCTAAATTGCTTGGAGAGATCTTTTGTCTTCATGCTGTAATGATAGCCAGAAATTCTGATTAAGCAGTGAATGGACCTTCCAGACCCAGGTGTTGTTTTACTGGTATCACTTGAGACACATCCACTGCCCTTGGGTGATTTCCATTTTACTAATTATGAGACAACTGGAACCAAGTGTCTGGACCCTTGTTGACTTAGGACAGTTATTTTAAAGTGATATATAATTACGCAATCACTAACTTTACAGTTATATATTTTTTTTTTATTTGGCAATACTTTGTAAAAATAAGTTTTCATTTCATCAATAAATATTAATTTTATTCTATTTTATTTTATTTTTTGTTTGTTTTTTTCTTTTCTTTCTTTCTTTCTTTCTTTTTTTTTTTTTTTTTTTGATGAAAAGGCCAATTTACATTGACCATGACTGATTTATGAAATATATAAGGCTCAAACATTTAAGATGGTGAGTGCTTTCTATAAGCACGGAATATGCCAATGCCATTAATTGCACTTTCCATGGTCCTGGCCTGTTTGCAGAACAGTTAAAGTCTCAGATGTTCACACTGGATCATGACCAATGCAACAAGGTGAAACATATTGAGAAATGTTGTGAAACGTATGTCCCTTCCCGAGGACATCTGTGGACCTGTGTCAGAGCTGAGCTGGCTAATAGAGACTGCATCATCTCTTATCAGGAATATGGGGACTATCTGGCAGTGTCCACGGACAAAATTACCTCTTTTGTCTGCCTTCCTCATGTAGATGTATTATAATGTTATCAGTATGTTGCTATTTCTGTGCTGAGGCTTTTTTTTGTTTTTGCAACTTTCACAATGTGTCTCATCTAAGACACAGTGTGAGATATGATTTTTTTTCACCTCTCTTCCCTTGTGTTTCTATTTTCTTATCTAAACGAAAAGGGCAGCGCCTCCCACAATGCCGCAGCCTCAGACACCTCTGTCTCCCCATGTCTGTTTGTTTGTGTTTTACTTGGACGGGCTGTACGGAAATGTAATTTTGTTGTGCTTCGGTGCAATGACAATAAATCTGATTTTGATTCTGATATCAGACAGAATGAAGATTGTCTTTGCAGGGTCTTGGTACGGTCTTCATTTTTATAGTAGTCAAAGCTAAAATTTAGTATCCTCATTTCAAATTATATCAACGCTGCAAAGTTGTGTTGCATTTTAGCAGCCTTATGACTGATGATCACTATGCATCACTGTTTTGCAAAAGGACTCGAACCTTTAACCAAACATATTACTAGAGATAAGTGCATTAATGAGAGCAACAAGTCTAAGCAGAAGTTGTGAGAAGTTTGCCAAAGGGCTGTGTTGATACAAAACCTTTTCTGGCAAAAACATTTTCTGGAAGGGACCTCCCAGACAGTAATCTGTCCAGCAGATGAATTTCTGCCAGACGGTTTTTCTGGCAAGCAAACACAAAAAAAAATATGTGTTTTCCTGTAAGTTTGGACAAAGAGGAAAAAAAAAAAGTGATTTGTACAGAAATTTGCAAAGAGCCTGAAACTATTCTGAGGACACTTTCTTCTTGTCAGAGTTTGTTTTCTAGTGTTGTTCTGCGATGAGCTGCTTAATTCATTTTCTGTCCTAATGGGTTCACTTTTACAAGACTTACTTTTTCTGGCAAAGGCAAACTCTTTGTCTAAAAACAAACAAAAACACATTTTAAAATAGGAACAATAGAAAATAAATACACAACAAAAATGTCCAAATCTAATATTTTTCAAAACTATACAATAGATGTATTTCTATAGACTTTCGTTTTTACCTGATAATTTTAATAAAAAGCTATACTAATAAAAAAGGAATAAACCGCAAACTATAGATGTCATTACCATTGTTTTACTGTGAGAAAAAATGGATTGTAACATCTTGAAATTTGTATACGTTGCAAGTTAACTTTTATTCTATTAAACAAACTGCTGTTGTTTTTTTATTATTTTTGTGTGTTGAAACTAAAATTTCAGAGAAAACCATTTTGTCTATGCATTCACAAGAAAGACAGAAAACCTTGTGTAACAAAACAAAACGGTTTTGCTATTGCAAATTTTTATTGAAATCATTTTTGTCTGATTTTGTTTGTTTTAAAAGTACATAAAACAGCACCGATTCAAAATAATAAATTCATTTTAATATGTTCAAAAAGTGATTTTGTAAATCAAACAGATTTGTTTCACACTTAACTTTTTAATCCTTGTTGTTGTACTGCAGTCGTTTTTTTTTTTTTTTTCCCAATGTCACGGACTGTATTCTGACTGAAGCACATTCAGTTCAGCAGTAAAATACACCCTAATCTTCTTCTGAGTTTCTTGATATAAAGGCAGGAAAAATAAACATTGCTGATAAGTCATCAAATTTTATTTTGAGAAGTGTTGTTACAATTTGATATTTAAAAACATTTATGGAAAGAGCAAAATGTAGAATATAAAAAATAAACTATATAATAAAACGAAAAATGTAATTATGTAAAATAAGTACAATATTGTGGCAAAGAAACGCATAACTTCAACAGACAATTAAGAAAAAAAATTACAAATGTTCAGTCACTTTACTAGAATTAGTTTTGGGCCAGTTTTTTCATGTCCTGTAATGTCAAATGGAAACTTCTTAAAAGATGTAAAGTATGTAAAAACATACAAAAGTTAAACTGTTAAAAACATTCCCCATGTATTAATACAGACTGTGTAGTTTTAGTAACAGCTGACATTTACAGTGCTCTGTAAAGTCAAAGCGCCATATCATCTGTGTATATTTTAAAAAGTCTGTGACTGTGTCGATTCTACGTTAGCAAGGACTTCCTGGTGACATCCTCAAGATCATTCCTCTCCCAGCCCTGTCGGATGCGAGTCAGGCTTTTATCCACGCAGGGCAGAAGAAGCAGCAGCTTGAGAAGCAGCACAACTGAAGGCACTACCAGGCAGAGCATGTAGCCAGGTGGAGTATACCATTTGTACTGATGAAGGAATTTGTCCCAACCATACAGGTAGGTGTGAAAGGTGCAGATGAACAATGTCAGAAATCCCAACTTGGACTGGAAGACAGGAAAAAAATAGGGATTAAAATTGTTATTGTAGAAAACAGATGTAATTATAATGGCTTACTCAAAACAACCTTACACAAAAGTAGTCCTTAACCACTCAGGATTGAACAGTACATTTATTTTAATTATTCAGGAGACACTCAGTGACCTTAAGTTCAGTCCCTTCACACAGGATGTTTTTTAAGCCTCTCAGATGCTCCCTGTGCCCCACCAAACCACAACATCACAATATTCCTACCATTTATGCCCATGATTGCATACCTTGGATCCTATCTTGGCACTACTTTTTTAGACCATGCCAGTGTGCTGCTACACACTGGCATAGTTATACTATATAAATACTAATTTGCACTTGGTTTATTCCTTGACCTTGTCAAGATGTGCTGAATATTTCTGTATATGAGATGCCACTGACGCCTTCCTAGATATATATGGGCTTCTAAATCAGTTTGCTGTTTTGTTTTTGACAAGGTCATCACTTCAACAAGTCTTCCTTCAAGCTGAAATGGCAGCGGCCCTACTTTTTAGGTCAGGTCAAAGCTTTCTACAGAAATGAGGATGCACTCGCTCATTAACAGCATGAGAAGATACAGGTGAAGAAGTTTTCGGCAAATCACCTTGATCACATTCACTGTTCTTTCCTTCTCACTCAGCAAACTTGATTATGACTCGAACAAATGCTTCTTGCTTTACATCCAGAAACTGAATGAAGGACAACTGAGTGTAGCGAGGGATGGTAGTAGCACCCACATTGAAAATACTGTGTCCATATTCAAAACTAGTGTGTTTTTGTTTCAGGTTACCTTGTAGGAACCAGTTTTACAAAAAACCATGCATTGTGGAACCAACTGCTCTTTATGGGGACCAAAGTCAGGTCCCCATAAAGAGAAGTCTCGTTAGGGGGTTAGGGGTTAGGTTTAGGACTAAGGTGTGAATTTAAGATGGGTTAGGGTCAAAGTTAGGTATGTATAAGTAATAGTTAGATTTAGGGTAAAGGTCAGGGTTAGGGTTAGGCTATAAAAAATGAATGGAAGTCGATGCAAAGTCCCCAAAAAGTAAGTTTACAAGAACGTGCGGACTTATCGTCTTCTATGACGTGTAATGGGGAGTCCATTGGGTTCCTGATACTTCTCTGAAGACCTCGAAATACCCAGCAAAAGCTATCTACATACTAGCTGATGTTTCTAATGTTGTAATGGGGTCATCATCCAGTGTGAAGGGGACCTTAAGAACGGCAGCATTAGAGTGGCCTTTACTGAGATGAGCTTTAGAACAAATTCCAACACATCTTTATGCACACTGATTTGATAGAGGTTATTCAGTTCCCATCTCTAGGGAATATAAATTCACATGTGTGTGTGTGTGTGGGGGGGGGGGGGTGCGTGCACGTAATGAAAATCTTAAAACTATGGCTCAGGATAATGTATGTCTCCAAATTACATTTGATGAATAACTTAACATTTAAAGAGTCGCTCTAATTTGTGCTGGAGTTAAGAGGAAGGATGGAGCAAGAAAATTAGCTTGACATGACCCAGATACATTTATGAATGAAGATTTTTTCCCCCTTGTTCCTATTGGTCAGCGTGAGGAAAATAGGTAAACATCTGAGTCTGTTCAAGTAAAACAATCACAAAAGAGTCTACAAAGGGAGAAACAAAATCTGTAACACACTTGGAGCAGAATAACAGGAGGATAAAAACAGACATGTGTGGCCTTATGCAAAAAATTTTCCATCTGAGCTGGAGCACAAAACTGTCTTCATCAGTCACAGCTGGAATCTTGGTACACAAGGAGACAAAGATTACAGCAAACCAAAGGGTTTTCAAGCTCATTTTGAGATCCAGTATACAGGTCTGGTAGAATAATTTGTTCTATGTTGTTTTAATTCTATGTCCCTTCTACTTCTTCTTCATTATCTTCTTCTTCTTTTCTTCTTGTTGTTCTTCTTCTCCACCTTCTTCTTCCGGCTTTTCCCTCTTCAGGGGTTGCCATAGCAAGCCATCCTTCTCCATCGCACTCTATCCTCTGCATCTTTTATCCTCCCTCCAACTACGTTCATGTCTTCTCTAACTGCATCCACACATCTTCTTTGTGACCTTCCTCTTTGTCTTTTTCCTGGCTGTATTATTAACATCCTTCTACCAGTATACACACTGTCCCTCCTCTGGATATGTCCAAACCATTTCAGTCTGGTCTCTCTAACTTTATCTCCCAGTTCTTCAATCTGTTTGGTACCTCTGATGATCTCATTCCTAATCTCATCCATCTTTGTCACTCTTAAGGAGAATCTCAGCATCTTCATTTCTGCCACTTCCAGTTCTTTCTCTTGTTTTTTTTTTTTTTTTTTTTTTGTCATTGTCATTGTCTTCTGACCACAAAACATAGCTGGTCTCACCACTGTCTTGTAAACTTTTCCTTTGACTTTTGCAGCCACCCTTTTGTCACAAATCACTCCTGAATTTTTTCTCCATCCACTTCATCCTGCATGGACTCTCTTCTTCACCTCTTTACCACATTCCCCATTTTCCTGGACAGTGGACCCCAAGTACTTGAAGTCCTGCACCTTTGTGTCGTCTGCTCATTGTAGCTTCACTGTTCCATCTACTTCCATCTCATTCACACACATGTACTCTGTCTTACTACGGCTGAATTTCATTCCTTGTCTTTCAAGTGCATACCTCTACCTCTACAAGTTCTCTTCCTCCTGTTTCCTGTTCTCACCGCAGATCACAATGTTATCTGCAAACATTATAATCCAACATTATAATCCTGGCTTCCCTCATTTGTTAGTCTGTCAAGAGCAGACAAGAGGGGTCTAATGTCCTGCTGTCCACATACATGTCTTGTAGCAATCTAACATACTTCTCTGCACTACCTATGATGCTGACCTCATGCTGCTGATTATTTCATGTTGCTGTGTTCATTAGTGTTCATTAGTCCTTATATGCTCACACAGACTCATGTTCGTGCTGCTGTTGTTTTGCGGGATTGTTTTTGTACCATTAGTTCTTAGTGTATTCTTAGTCTTGCATATTCTTAGTTTAGTGAATGTAGTATATTCTTAGTTCATGACTCAGATCTTACTAATGTTTTTCTTTACAATTTGTGTTTTGTTGGATGTAACTGGGACCCTCTGTACATAGTTTTGTCCCACCTCATGTACCACATGGGGAGTGTATGACAAAAAATCTCTCTGACTCTGACTCTGAGACAGGACAGAGCAAAGAAGAGCAGAGAGGGAGAGGACGAGAAAGGCGTTGACTCTTGACAAGAGTAAGTGTTGAAGTGTAAGGGATGATGCTGAGCTACTACAGCAGCATTTACTCAAAACTGTTTAAATCAGTTTTGTGAAAATAACAGACACAGACAGAAACATTTGCCCAGCTTCCCAATGCTGCTTCTGAAAGACACCACATAAATTTGTATAATCTCAATTAATAACTTGTGACTTATGGGGAGTTTCCAAGTAAACATGAAAATTGACTCAGTTAAATAATGCTGGACTGCACAGCTGGAGGAACGTTATCAGTGCAAAATGTTTAAATTAATGCATTTTTTAAGACAAATTAATTCCAAAATTTACCTGAATGAAGCTGAACTCTCTCCAGCTAAGTGCATTGCTGACAGAGGGGAGAGAAGTTATTCCCAACAGGAGATAAAGGCCAAATCCTAAGATTCCCATTGCGTAGTAAGAGTCGGTTCGCCAGGCCATGGTTGTGTCAAATTCAGATGTTTTGTTCTCCCTGATCTTAAAGCAACAGTAAAGAAAGCAGCAAAATATGTTATATTAATATTATTTATAAGAACAATAGTAATTATCCACATCTATTGACGTTTTTTTTTTTCTTTTTAAGTTCTTACCTGTGAAATAGTATTTGCTGCGAGTTTATATCTCACGTAATATCTGGGGACAAAAACTATTTAAATCAATATCCTTTTGAAAAATCCAAATTGGCAAAATTATTGTCTTTACAAGATGGTAAGGATTTGAACACAATGTAACAAACAAAGATAATATTTTTGTGTTAGTAAAACATCTGTAAAATTGACTAAGTTATAGTCATTTTTCTGATTGCTAAGGTTGTTTAAATGTAGTGGCCATCTTGGATTCATTGGCTTCAAAAATAAATCTGTTATAACAAAGATCACACATGTTATCTCTCAATGTATATGTTAGGGATGACTCTCAAGTTCAGTTGTTAATTTTGATTGTTTTAGTAGAAGCATTAACAGTACATGATCACCCATAGTCATTAAAGTTAGATGTTTCTAATATTCTTATTCATTTCAAATATGTTTTTTTTTTTGTGCAATATTACAATGTGTGACAATGTTTTGTACCTTATGAAATCATGAAAGGTGGTAATATAATTGCCTGGGTATGAATGTGTTTATCTGTCTTTAGGTAGAATATTTCATGAACCAAGAGACAAAATTTAAAGAAACTTAAAAAGCAATCTAAGACAGAACGACTTTTGGAGTCAAACTAATTCAAGATGGCCACTACAGCCAGTCAACCTTACAAACAGAAAAATACCTATAACTCAGCCAACATTACTCACATTGAAGAAGAGTTGGGTACATTAGTGGCTCAGTGTTATCCTTAAACTTGGAAAACTAACAGATCACATCTTTAAATCTTTGACATGCAAGGCAGTGGGCAATGTGTGTTTCTTCAAGAAATGCTAGGTCCTTCGATTTACTATATCAAGCATGCTAATAATTGCCCATTAGACAGAAGAATTTATCGGTGCAGCCACGGGGTGGAGGGAGTCCGGTTCAGTGGCCTCATGATTCCGTCTCTGATTTTTTGCAGATGATGTGGTCCTGTTGGCATCATCGTGGACACCCTCTGAGCACCTCCCTAGGGAGGTTCTCCTGGCATGTCCAACTGGGAAGAGGTCCCAGGGAAGACGCTGGAGAGAATGTCTCTCAGCTAGCCTGGGAATGCCTTGGGATCCTCCCAGAAGAGCTACGCAACCTCATATCTCATTAAACTTACACTAACATGACTGAAATGTTATTTTTAGTTGGATAAAAACTATTTACTTATGTATTTATTATTTGAATTAGGATGTAAGGGAATAACCTCTGTTTAGTTGGTTTTATCAACATCTATTTTTAGTTGAAGCCAGTAGATGCCACATTGCTTAAACTAGATCTTTAAGTTGTTTCTCATCAGTAATGTGAAATGGAAAGGTCCTGAGTTTAGTGAGCTGTCATAAAATGACCCTAAATAATATTAACAAAACAGTGAGAGAAAATGTGGTTATTTTATCAGCAATATTGTTAAAGTTCTTAAAACATGTAAAATATTTTCAAATAACATGTTTTGTAATCACAATGATAAGAATTGTGCAGCACACACTTGTTGTTGTTGTTGTTTACCTTATAGGGATGATTAATGTGTACAACACATGTAGGGAAGCAAAGGCTAGGGCTAACAGACCCATCTGTTTCCTGCAAAGCATCCATCGGTCCAACCAGTCAGGGAAACGTCTAAAACCAACAGTTTATAAGAGATAAATGTTTGGTGTGATGTACAGCTTTGCCAACAATAAACATCAGATCATATTTGTTTCTGACTTGTATTTGGTTCCTCTGTAAAGCTGCAGGAAAGCAGCTATGACTCCAGGCAGATAGCAAAGAGAGAGCATAATGAGTGACACAATGGGAAACACCTGGAAAAGAGGACACACGCAAGGCTCAAAAATTCCATTCTGCACATCTGGAAGTTCAAGTTTTACAGAATACATTGCTGAGTCTAAACAAATAGTCTGTGTTCACCTTGTTGGCCAAGGACACCATGATTCTGAAGGAGATGTCTTTCCTCTGTTCAACATATGCATAGACGACATCTCTGATGACCAGATAGAAGAAGAAGAAGGCGGTGAGCCCAAAGGCCAGACGAATGGGCAGCCTCCATTTTGGGAACAGCTGCAGGGGGAAGTCCTCCAGCTCTCTGGCTGCAGACAGAGACCCTCTATCCAGAACAGTGAAGCCCAGTTTGGTAGCGATGTCTGCCACAGCCTGCTTAGTCTCACTACTGTTCCCACACAGGTACACCTGGAGCACAAGAACACACAACAGTAAAAATGCCCCATGTGACCAGTATACTGTACATCTTTGTTAATATTTATGTATTTATGCATGTGTACAAGCAGTGATGAAAGGATGCATTTGACTCCAGAGAACTAAACATAAAAGTGCACAGAAACTCAGGCAATGTGCACGAAAGACTAAATTTAGTTGAAGAAAACAGGTATAAACAATGCTCAGTCAACACCTTTGTGATGTTGCTGATGCTGCTCCAAATACAACACACCCCATAGCCTAATCATACACATTCATGTGTCTGTGTGTGTGTGTGTGTGTGTGTGTGTGTGTGTGTGTGTGTGTGTGT